ATACAGAAAAAGGAAATGCTACTTTTGAATTCCTCTAACATCACTGTGAAACTCACTCATTCGGCAATTAGCTTACACATTTGCTTTGTACTGGCAGTATAGTATATTTAACAATGTTGGCACAAACTAAGTGCTTAATAAATCAGCTTAACTTTTTCTTCACACATCTATGCAATTAGATAATAAAATTATACCATCTCACAAAAAAAATGTACAAAAAGAAGGAAAAAGTGCCGTGGCATTCTGGAAGGAGATTTTAAGCAAAAGAGACCTCAAATAAGGAATTTTGTCCATCACTTACCAGCACTCACACCAAAGAAAAATTATTGGAGCTGGGGTTATTGCTCAGTGGTAGAACATATACTTACCATGCATGAGGCCCTGGATTCAATCACCAGCACCAAAAAAATTTGGTGGCAATAGAATCTAGGGTCTCAATCTACCGTTGAGCTAGTCCCTATTTACCTTTTTGTACCGTGGTTATTTAACTGTAAAAAGGGGAACAATACCATGTAGCTAGCAAGCTTGTGAGGACTAAACAAGATATTTAAAAAGCACTTTATATATAACTTGGTACTCAAGAAGTAGCAGCAATTACTATTATGATCATTTTTCCAAAATAAGAGCATCTAGAAGACTCACTGACTTTTCAAGTTGTTTATGACTATATAACTAAACAGTCAGGAAGCACACCAGCCATTGTTTTATTGTATTCTGAAGAAGGAAAGCATAAAATGACCATCAGCTCCTGGTCAGACTCCTCAAAGTCTAGTTATTCACATATTACCACTATGATTTCTGCCACAACTAAGTATTGCAACTTAATATTTTTCTTTAAACCACAACTCATTTTCTTTAATTGGCCATATGTGAAAAAACTATACCTGTGGAATGGTGAATTTGATATGCTACCTTATCCTTTTTTTCTCATATTCATTAACTATTAAATAAAGCACTCATCCTCTTCATCATATTACATCATCCCCCAAATCACTATCTAAAACTGCTTTAGGTTCCTCTACTTCTGAGATCCTTTGGAAGGTATCAGATAAGCAACTTGTGGGTTTACTCAAATTTACCTGCTACTAGGAACTTTCATTTACAAAGGCCTGCAGAATGCATAACTGAAACCAACCAAACAACAAAATTTATCTCAACAATATACACTGAATTGATCTGTGGGCAATCCTAAACTGTTTAAAGCTAAACATACAACCCAGCAATTTATTATTTAATTCTACCACCTTTACATTCTCTACCACAAGTGAAAATGATACTGAGAATAAAAGACCATCTTCCTGGCTGGGCATGCTGGCACATGCTTATAATTCCAGTGGCTAAGGAGGCTGAGGCAGGAGGATCCAGAGTTCAAAGCTAGCCTCAGCAACACCAAGGCACTAAGCAACTCAGTGAGACCCTATCTCTAAATAAAATCGAAAATAGGGTTGGGGATGGGATGTGGCTCATTGGTTGAGTGCCCCTGAATTCAATCCCTAGCACCCTCCCCATGAGGCCCTGGATTCAATCCCCAGCACCAAAAAAAGCCCATCTTGCAGTCTAGTCTGAAGAATAAAACCAAGGAGGGAAAGAATCAAGTAGTTGGTTTTGTTTTAGAACACTAATATTCAGTCAGAAGAAATGCTAGACAGGCAAATCATCTAAGCAAAAAAACTGCCCCTTGGAGATGACAGAATACCTCTGAAAGGGGAAATTGTTATCCATTATTAATCAATGTCTTTCAAGTTACAATCAAGGAAATTCTTCACTCCAACAGTCACCAATCAGAACCAGGAGAGAGAACTTTACTCACTGATAACATCAACAAGTAATTTACATATGCAATTCTGAAGCAGGTCTTAAATCCACTATATTAAGTGTTCCACCATACACTTTTTAAAAGTCACCCTCACAACCCATTCCCTTAGGTTCAATGACCAATTTACTTAGGGAAAAAAAGAAATCCTGTGCCCAAAGTATACAAGCTATTATGAAAAATATAAAAAGATCAGAGTGTTTATAATCTAGCATGGAGAATAAAATTTATACATTCCCCAAACAGTGGTTCTCAGGGCTGAAAAAAACTACTGAGAATCCCCCCACCAACATTATGAAAAAGTTAAAACACACAGCCAAATTGAAATAATTTTACAATGAACATCCAAATACCACTGAGATTCTATCAATTTTTACTATACTTGACTCATCACATATCCATATATCTATATAATCCATCTTAATTTTTATTAACTGTTGGAGTTGTTATTATTTTTTAAGACATGGGTGTCTGGCTATGTTGCTTGGTCTGATCTCAAACTATCCTCCCACCTCAACCTCCAGAGTAGCTGGGAGTATATATGTGCACCACCACACCCAGCTACTGCTGGGATTTTAAAAATGATAATTTGTGTAAAGTATGACAAAATGTATTTAGTCACTTCTCAAAATTTTTGACTGATGGAGTATGTGAACAAAAAATGTTTGGAAACCACAAACTCATACTTAGTGTTCATCTCTCCTGCCAACCTCCAATCAAAATCTATTCAGAGCTCACAAATGGTCATTTTAGGTCTCCACACCCTTGTCCACTATCTGTACTATCCTTAGCATACTTCATGGCTCAGCACCCATTTGTGATGCTCCTCCCAACTTTCACTCACTCACCCCAAAGAAACCATGCCCCTATAGGGGCCTTATTATTATATATATATATATATATATATATATATATATATATATATATATATATATATATATATATAATTTACAATTAGCACACAGAATCTGAAATTTTGTCTTCAGTATGTCTCTTTTTTACGAACTCTGGATCTCATTGAGGGTAGGAATCCTCTTATCACTTCTGAATCTTCAGCAACCAGCCTAGTACTTTGCCAGCAAGCACTCAGTAAAGTAATAATAAATGAATGATCTGAACCTGACTTTACCCAAGAGCCAGGGAAGAGTAGTCGATTATGGAAATGATCTAATCACAGTGGCACTTTAGAAAGATTTGGCTTAGAATACTGTTAAGAGCATGGGCTTTGAAGCCAAACTGCATGGGCATGAATCCCAGAATCCCAGCTCTGCCACTTAGTGCTGGATGACTTTGGGCAAGTTTCTGAAGCTCCTGTGCCCGAGTTTTCTCACTTGGAAAACAGGGATAATATTGCTTCATGGGTAATTGTGATGATCCAATGAGACAATAATTTTTAAAAGGAATTATACAGGACTGGGGTGTAGCTTGGTGGTAGAGCACAAGACCCTGGGTTAGGTTCCCAGCACTGAAAACAAAAAGGGCACACATGCAGTAGGGTGTTCCATCAATGTGGTCACTATTGCCAGCAACCAGGTTAATAACGAAGTAAAAAAATCTTGAAGGTCTAGGGGATAGCAGTAGGAAGAACAGCCATGAATAAAGAATCTATTAAAAATGTTCAGTTAGAAGGGCAAGCAAGTGGATTTCTTTTATACTATTTCCTTTGTATGTTTAAATTAGTCATGACTGGATTTTGTGTGTAGTGCTGGGAAATCAAACCCCAGGGCCTTGTGCATGGTAAAACCAAGTTCTACCACTGAGCCACATCCCCAGCCTACAACTGTATTTTTAAATTTAGACAGATATAATCTATCCACTCTAGACAGATTTGATACTGAACACCAGTAGTGTAGCATAAACTAGATTCTAGTAACTACTGTAAGCTTCTCTATGTAAGTCTTTCAGTCTCTCAGCTGAAATTTCTTTCTTCAGTACTTCAGCAGGCACCACTTCTTTATTTGTGAATCTCACTATCCCCTGTCCTGTGAGGACATCCCCAAGAACCTTGGTTGGGGAATGGGCATACACACAGTTTTCTTCTTTTTTTGGCAATTTCATCCTACCCAACCTTGTACTGTTTTTTTTCTTCCTCCTGCCCACCTCCTTACTTCTCAAGCCTTATTATTCCCTACACGTAGGAACTTGAAACCTAAGAGTATGGGGAAAGCAACAGAGCAACAGCAGTGGTGCCAAGAACTGGGGATGCTGCCAAGCTATTCCCCAGGCCCCATATGCAGTGAGTGACCCAACTACATGCAGATTGGACTTAACTGCTCATGGGGCCTCACACAGTTGGTATTCCTTTTTGTTTCTGCTCATTTTCTTCCTCTCACTGAAAGTATCCTCCTCCCAAATCTGTGTCACATTCAAATCCAACTCATCCTTGCAGACCCAGGCAAGGTCTTTCTTTAGGGAAGACTATCTCAGTTCACAAATATCCTCCCCCCACACATACACAAACAGGTATTATACTTACTGTCTGTATGATAAACCATAGTTGCCGTACACATTTACACGATTAAATAAATGTTCCATGTGTACATGATTAATTTTCCAAGAGCAGGAACGGTGTCTTGCAAACCCCTTATATTCAGTGGGTTAATACTTGTTGAACAGTGAATCAGTGGGTTTTTGTTTGTTCATTTAGGCTAACACAGGAGGAAATTGAAGTATGGATAAATGAGAAAGGTTGAATGGATAGATGGGTAATAAAAAAAAAAAAAAAGCAGCACCCTGTCAAGATGGGAAAAATATTGGAGGTGTTGAATTAACATCTGCTCAACTGACTTGCTGTGAGATTGGAAAAAAGTATAGGAGTAGATGTCAACTAGGAAAAGCAAGGAAAATGTATTTCAGTTTGAGGTAAAAGACAGCTGGAGAAAGGTGAGGCTGCAAAAGAAATTCTGACTAGATTGTGTTAAAACCTGGAGGAACGCCAATTAGATAAGTGAAGGTAAATGGAGCTATTGGGATTACACGGATAGACATGTGGTATGGTAGGTAAGCAAATCCGTAGAGATGGTATGAAGTATGTGGGGGGATAGATGGATAAAATGATCGACGGCTAGCGGATTGAGTGGGTAAGTAGGTGGGTGGGTGATAGTGGGTTAATGGGTAGGTGGCTAGGTGTTTAGTTGGGAGGAAATAGGTGTAGGGCGTGTTATTTAAAATCCGGCCCCTCCCTCACCTTGACCCGGAAGCGGATGAGTGCTAGCCTCACGCAGTGGCTCAGGCAGGCCGGTGGCAGGAACCAGGCCCGCGGTGGAGGGGTGCCCTTGTTGCCCACGTGTCCCACGATCAGTTGCGCTGTCTGCCGCTCGGCCTGGCACCGACGGCCCCACTCTGCCAGTCGGTCCTTGCCCAGGCCCCCGGGGAACATGACCACGAGCTCCAGGCCGTCGCCGCCGGGGTAGGCACAAGCCTGGCACAGCGCTGACAAGTAGCCCAGCATGGCGTTCCACTGGCCGCCACACACCCAATCCGTCTGGTAACCGCCATAGAGCCGTGGAAGCGCCGAGCCCGCGTCTACAAGCACTCGAGCCCCGGGCAGCGGAGGGGGCGGCGGCGGCAGTGGCGGGTGCAGCCCGGGCTGCGCTGGGCCGTGGTGGTGGAAGTGGTGAGCAGGGTGATGGTGCCGATTCGGGCCCGCGCCCCCGGAGTAGGCACCTAAAGCTGCGGGTGGGAGCGGTGGTTGCAGAGGAGCAGAGCCCCTGGCGGCGCGTGGAGCTCCGGGTGCTAAGGCTGCCGTCGGGGGCAGCTGGCGGTGCAGGTGCTGCTGCTGCTGCTGGCGCGATACAGTGCGCGCGAGTTTGAGGAGGTCCACAGGCACCACGGCCCCAGGACAACGCTTCTCCAGGAACTCTTGGAAGCCCTGGACGCCCATGCTTCGTCGGTGGGCAGACGAGATGAGACAGCGGCTGCGCGAGCAAGCTAGGCGGCGATCTGGGCGCGAAGCTGGGGGCGGGCGCGTGCGCACTCCGCGGGGGGCGAGGGGGCGGGAAAAGGATTCCCTAGGGGAGGGGTGAGGAAACCAGGGCGGGGAGGGGAGGAGACCGCAGATTGGATACGGGTGGACTGGAGGGGTGAGGCCGACCGGACTCAGGAGAGGTTGGGAGGATAAAAGCGATGACAGGCTCTAGTCGCTTCTCTTTTTTCTCCTCTCCCGCTGCTCTTCTTTACCGCTTCAAAGAGGGTAAAGCCTCTTCCTTCCACCTCCGGGAGCCATGTTGCCTCGTCTTCTCTGTGATACACGCTTTTTAGCTGGAGGAGGGGGGATGGGGCGGGGCGGATGAGCATCCTGGGAGTTGTAGTCTTCTAGCAAATGGCCTCAGGATGTAGTCAGCTAAGGTAACTACCACCCAGCTCCTGCCTTGTGGTTCACAGGGTCAAAGAGGCGGGGCATGAAGATTTGTGTTTAGGATTTGCACTCTCAATTCCTTGCATCCCACTGAACTGCCTTAGGCTTTTTACTGCCATTCCCAGCATAAGGAGTTTGTGGGGGGAGGAGTGATGCATCATGGGAAAGGAAATTGAGTGTATTGATTGAATTTAACCAAAGTGAGCTAAAATTCCCCAGGAGGGAGAATTTTCACTTTGATGCGGAAATTAATATGCCTTACTTATGTGAGAAAGAACACATATGAAACATAAAAATAACCACTACAATTTCTACAGCGACTTGCTTGCTTTAGAATTTTTTTCCCGAGTTAGCAATGGTGAAACAAATTTGTCCAGGACAATGTGGGACAAAGCGAAATTGAATGGCAGGATCTCTTTGAGCAAGGAGATGTGGGCCAACACGAACTACAGGTTGTACCTTTTTGGTACTCACTGAACTACTGTGTCCCATTTTTAGTATTTATATTAAATATCTTATATTTTAGGGCCCTTGTTTCCAAATGTAATTGTGAATTAGTCTTGGTACTAATTCAAAACTGTACAACCCAAGAGTGAGCAAGATGAATGATGTCTGAGACAAGTCTCTATTAGAATGCAAAAGCAAAAAAAAGCTCCATGCTCCATAAAAGAATATATCACAAGAGGGTAAGGCCCAGATGGCAAAGAATAAGTAGATGGTGAGGCAGTGCACATAGGTAAACTGAAAACATGCAGTGAATGTGAGAGGGCAGTGGCTTAAAGGGATAAAGAATGGAAGGACTAGAGGTTTTCTAGTAAACTGGACACTATTGGATTGTTTGCCCATCCGCCCTTTTCTAAGAACTGGCCCTCTCCTTTCCCCATTTATAGGGGCAAAAAACTGCCATGTTCCTATCTCTAGATAATTAAACAGAAGCGGACACCTAATCCAACCTGGATCAATCAGAATCTCATTCCCTAGAAATTTAGAATTAGGGGCTGGGATTGTGGCTCAGTGGTAGAGTGCTTGCCTGGCACTTGTGAGGCAGTGGGTTCCATCCTCAGCGCACATAAAAATAAGTAAATAAAATAAATTTATAAAAAAAGAAATTTAGAATTAGATCAGAGATATCTGCTTTTCTCTTAAGTGTAATCTTGGAAGCTATTCAGCAGTTTTCCCACTGGAGAGATATAAGTAAACAATGTTGGTTAGCAGACAAAGAAAACTGTATATTTAGCCAGGTGTGGGGGTGCATGCCTGTAACCCCAGTGACTTGGGAAGCTGAAGCAGGAAGATTGCAAGTTCAAGACCAGCCTCAGTAACTTAGCAATGCCCTAAAGCAACTCCCAAGAGAGCCTGTCTCAAAAAAATAAAAAGGGCTGGGGATGTAGCTTAGTGGTAAAAGGTCCCTGGGTTAAATTCCTATTATAAAACAAAACAAAGGAAGAAAAAAAAAGAAAAAGAAAACCATGCAGACTCAGAAAAGAGCAGAGTCAGGTTAATGAAAACATGGTGGTTAAGTGTTTTTTATATATATATATATATATATATATATATATATATATATCAAAATGGCATTTTACTCAGCCATAAATAAGAAAGAAATTATGTTATTTGTATCAAAATGGATGGAACTGGAGACATCATGCTCCATGATATATAAGCCATAGACTGAGAAAGTCAAAGGTCATATGTGGGAGCTAGAAAGAAAAAAAAAGTGGGGGAAGAGACCTCATGACAATGGAAGGAAGACTTGTAGAGGATGGAGATTAGGGGAAGAAAGAGAGGAGGAAAAGAGTAGGTATGGGGGATAAAACAGACCAAACTATGCTATGTGGAGGTACCAATATATGATGATGAAGGCTCCTATTATGTATAATTATGGTTCACCAATAAAAATATTTGAAAAATAGCCAGCACCCTTCGAGCACACCTGTAAATGCCAGCAATTTAGGAGGCTGAGGCAACTTAGACCCTTAGCAATTTAACATGATCATGTCTCAAAAGCTGGAAAGGACTGGGGATGTAGCTAAATAATAAAGAACTCCGAGATTCAATTCCCAGTACCCCCTAAAATTTTAAAAATAAAAGTCATAAGATGAAAATGGGCAGAGATGAGAGATTAGAAATCTTCATGGTAGTCCAGGTTCCATATCATTCTTAAGGCATTCCTTGGTTTTTCTTAGACAACCCCATATCCTTACTATTCTATTTTTTTAAAGATAGAGTTGGTTTAAAAACTGTTTATTATTCTCTAAATAAAACACAAAATAGGGCTGAGGATGTGACTCAGTAGTCAAGAGCCCCTGAGTTCAATTCCTGGTACAAAAAAAGAGAGAAAGAAAGAAACTGCTTATCATGAAGAAAATGTTAACTAATTCAAGAACTGGTACCAAAATGGGATGTGGCACATTGTAGGCCCTAAAATGTGGACAGAGATAGAAGGTCTCTTTCATGTGTTGCTGGGAAGGGAGCTTGGCTTTCCATGTTATATGACAGTGAAACAGCACTGCCAACAAACAAACAACAACAACAAACCCAGTATGTCCCTGTACTAGCACACCAGCAATACCTGTGAATTGTTACAAATGTAACATTCTTGGGCCTCACTCCAGACCTCCAGGATCAGAAACACTGGGTGTGTGGTTTAAGTGGTGACAAACATAAAAAAAATCCTGACATTAGTTAAAGCAAAGCAGTGAGAACAGATTTTATTCAGTAACTACTGACAGTAGGGGAAAGGGCTGAACTTTGCTCTGATTTGCACATAGATGACTGGGTGTTTTACTTTATGTATTTATTTTTCAGCACTACAGATTGAACCAGAGGCTCTATACCACTGAACTACATCCCCAGAACTTAAAAACAACAACAACAAAAAGGGTCTCAATTGCTGAGCATTTAAGTTGCAGAGGCTGGCCTCGAACTTGCAATCCTCTTGCCACTTAGCCTGTTGACTCTGGGATTACAGGCATGCACCATCACACCGGGCTATGACTGGGCATTTTAAAGAGAGAATGAGGGAATAGGGGATAGGATTAAGTGGGGGCTCAGTAGTGTCAGGGAAGTAAAAAATTTGTTAGTACTGGTCAGTGTAAATGTGATTGGGCCAGCTGTGTACGGTGGCTGGCAATTACTGAAGTTAGATTTCTATTCCTGCCAGAAACAGAGACAGAGGCCCTATCCTTCCTGATAATTACATTTCTATGGAATTGCTTTCAGATCCTTAGATATCACTCTGGGTTTAGGAGAGGCATACATAACCCAAAGGTACAGAGGAAGGATTCACAACTGTAAGCCTTTTAAATAAATAATAAAGTGAGGCTGATGGCCCGTCAGGTGTGTGCTAGAACAAGCTGTAAATTCTTTTTCTAGCCCTGTGATTTTCCTGACAGGAATCTGGGAGTGGGCTGGGTCTCCTCAGAGATTTGACCTTAGGCTACTAGAAGTCCTGTAACCTTGGTCAAGTTTCTTATCATAGGTGTCTGAAAGGAGTATACCTACAGTTTTTGCTGGTCTCACTAGCCCCCTCCAGGTAATTCTAACATTCTCAAGTTTGAGAATCATTACTTTTCTTTTTTTTTAATATTTATTTTTTAGTTGTAGTTGTACACAATATCTTTATTTTATTTACTTATTTTTATGTGGTGCTGAGGATCGAATCCAGTGCCCCGCATGTGCTAGGCAAGCGCTCTACCTCTGAGCCACAACCCCAGCCTGATGAGCATTACTTTTCTAGAGCACACCGTAAGCCTAAGTAGAAACAGGTTAAGCAAGGAAGTGCATCAATTTATTGACTCCTAATAGTTTTTCTATGCCTGTAATTCATTTCCATTATTCCTGTCCAGGTGAAAAGAGTTTATCCTTAGACCTGGTGACTGACTAATAGTGTCACTTCTCCTTTCCTAAAAGGGAATTTTGATTGTGGTCATTTAATTATTTCTCTACTATTGCATGTTACAATCTATTGGTAGCAGTTAAGTTCATCAGAGGTTACAAGATAAATGAAGCCACATTTAGAGGTGGAAGAGGTGTGTCCATGCCATGCCATTATTTCTGAATGCTATAGTTCTGTAAGATTCACAAGCCTCTGTGGATTGTTAGGTGTGGGCTTTTTTTGTTTGTTTTTTGTATAAGAAACTGGCACACATATTTATGGGGCAGACAACAGGAGGACTTGTACATACACATCTATCAGATTGTCTCTGTGGCACCCCTTTTCTACCACCTGCTCTGATCCTTATGGTTGCATAGGAGCCATCCTTTGTGAACCTTCCCAGAGAATTGAGTATTAGAAGAAGAAAGATGAAAACTCCTGGCTGCAATCAAGCACCTGGTTCATTTGTTCCCAAGGCCCAGCTTTATTATCCCTGGGTTTTGTGAGACCCTCCCGTCTTTCTATTTTACCTGTCTTGCTTACGCATGTTTAAATTGGGTGTCTTAAACACAACAGTCCTAACATGTTGTCCAGGAGATTGTAGGCCATGGAGAGGATAGGGATGACAGAAGACAAAGCCCTGAAAGTAGAAGAGAATAGTAAATGTCACAGAGTAGTTGTTCAAATTGTGTGCTTTGGAACCACTATCTTGGTTCCAATACCAGTTCAACACCTTATTAGCTGTATGACTTTAACAAGTTATTTAACCTCTTGAACTCTTAATTTATCTATGAAATAGGGACTCACTAATTTATTTAATGGGCTTATTTCATACCCAGTACATGCCAGGAATAAAGAAAGTAGGTTTTAAGACAGTCAAGAGACTTAGAAGGCAAATTTAGTAATGACAGAAGCTTGTGAAAATTAAATGACATTGTAGAACACTTAGCATAATAACTGACACAATAAACAGTTAACAAATGTTAAGTCTTAT